TCGTGCAATGGTGGATACTAGAGCAACTCATAATTTCGTGACTGAGGCTGCTGTAAGAAGACTAGAATTGAAGCTTGCTCTAACCAACTCTTACGTCAAGACCGTGAATGACGAGGTACAGAATGCTCGTGAGGTAGCTAATGGAGTTGGTGTCGAATTGGGAACTTGGAAAGGTATGACAAACTTTACTATAACCGTTATGGATATCTTTGACATCATACTGGGGCAAGAGTTCTTTAGACATTGTCATACTTTGATTGACCCCTACCTCTAACGTCTCTTAGTTATGGAGCGAAAAGGAGCTTGCATGATACCTACAATGACTATGCCACATGGACACACACCTCTCAGCTATGCAGGTTGTCAAGGGGATCAAGAAGGGGGAACCGACGTTCGTGGCAACCATCGCAAGTCTAGAGGAAGACAAGAGTTTTCAAGAGACACTGTCGCCTTGCATAGAGAAGTTTAGGAAAATAAAGATGGCATGCCCGACGAGTTGCCTAAGCATTTGTCGCCTAAGTGAGAGGTAGATCACAAGATCAAGTTGTAGCCAGGGGCTAAGCCACCCGCATTTTCCCCATATCGTATGGCACTGCCCGAGCTAGAAGAGCTCAAGAAAAATTGAAAGAGCTGCTAGATGTTGGTCATATTCGCCCATCAATGGCACTTTTTAGCGCACCAGTATTGTTCTAGAAGAAGAAGGATGGATCGTTGCGTTTGTGCATAGACTACCGAGCACTTAATAAAGTCACAGTGAAGAATAAGTATCCGATCCCGCTCATTGTTGACTTGTTCGATAGACTTGGGCAAGCCAAGTACTTTACCAAGGTGGATCTTCGCAAAGGCTAATACCATGTTTGCATTGCGGAAGGGGATGAGCCAAAGATAGCATGTGTGATGAAATATGGAGCCTTTGAGTGGTTGGTGATGCCCTTCGGCTTAACCAATGCACAAGCCACGTTTTTCACCCTTATGAACAACATTTACATCCCTACCTTGATCAGTTTGTGATAGTCTACCTAGACGACATAGTCATCTACAACAACACCTTGGAGAAGCACATGGAGGACTTAAAGAAGGTTTTCCAAGTCTTACAGGAGAACGAGATATACATCAAAAGGGAGAATTGCGAGTTTGTACAATCAAAGGTGCACTTCTTAGGCCATGTGGTTAGCAATGGCGAGCTACGCATAGACGAGGCTAATGTACGTGCTATCTAGGAGTGTGAGGCACCTATAAAGGTAACTGAGATGAGATCCTTCCTTGGCCTTGTTAACTGCTATCGTCGGTTCATCAGTGGCTGCTCAGCAAAGGCCCCACCATTGACTGAGTTTATAAAGAAGAACAAGCCACGGGTTTGGACGGAGCATTGTCAAAAGGCGTTTGAAGGCCTTAAGGCAGCTGTCATAAAGGAGCCAGACTTGGTGTTACCTAACTTTACTAAGACATTTGAGGTGCACACAGATGCCTCAGACTTTTCCATTGGGGTGTCCTGATGCAGGATAAGCATCCCATAGCGTTTGAGAGCTGTAAGTTAAATGAGACGGAGCGGCGTTACACGGTGCAAGAGAAGGAGATGACTGCCATTGTGCATTGCCTTCGTACATGGCGACATTATTTGCTCGGGTCGAGGTTTGTGGTCAAGACTGACAATGTGGCAACTAGCTACTTACAGACGCGGAGGAAGCTCACACCAAAATAGGCTAGGTGGTAGGATTTCTTGGCCGAGTTTGATTATGTGCTGGAGTACAAGCCGGGAAGAGGTAACGTTGTAGCTGATACATTGAGGCAGAAAGCGAGCTTGCTGCCATCACTTCAGCAAGTTGGGACATTCGCAAGGCATGCAACATGATCCAACAGCCAAACAGCTTATTGAGTTAGCCAACCAGGGCAAAATTGGATGTTTTTTGGTAGAAGACGGCTTATTACTTACCACGGGTCAGCGGTTCTACGTGCCTAATTTTGGAGACATTAGACGGGGGATCATAAGGGAGAGTCATGACACAATGTGTGCTGGTCATCCTGGCCAACGTTGCACCAGGGCCTTAGTTGAGTCAGTCTACTATTGTCCACGCATGCAAGATAATATAGAATGTTATGTGCAGACTTGTCTTTTATGTCAGCAGAACAAGGTTGAGCAACAGCAGCCTGGAGGACTTTTGGAGCCACTACCAGTTGTAGAGCATCCATGGGAGAGCGTAACTATGGACTTTATCACTTTCCTACCAAACTCCGAGGGTTATGGTACTATTATGGTGGTCGTGATAGATTTTTCAAATATGCCACATTCATGCTCGCCTCACCAGGTTGCAGAGCCAAGGAAGTCGTCAAGCTATTCTTTAAGAACATGGTAAAGTATTGGGGCATACCAAGGCATATAATCAGTTATCGAGACCCCCACTTCAGTGAAAAATTTTGGAGAGAGTTGTTCGACATACTTGGCATGGAGCTGCACTTTTACACTAGTTTCCACCCATAGACGGAACGAGTCAATGCCTTACTAGAATTCTACTTGAGGCATTATGTAAGCGCGTATCAGAAAGATTAGGCAAGGCTCCTAGACATCGCCCAATTCTCTTATAACTTGTAGCGGGGTGAGTCCACGGGGCGGACACCATTTGAGCTAGCCACAGGCCAACAACCACAAACTCCACATTCATTAGCAGCCGCGTTCGAGGGAAAGAGTTTGGGGGCTTATCATATGGACAAAGGATATGAGGAGCAGCTTGACACTGCTAAGTCCTGCTTGGATAAGGCAGCTAAGAAAATGAAATAGTTTGCGAACTTTAAACGGCGTCTCATGTACTATAGAGTTGGGGACATGGTCATGGTGAAGTTTAACCCAAGACAGTTCAAGGCACTATGGGGCATGCATCAGAATCTGATTCGAAAGTATGAGGGGCCATTTAAGATCGTCACCAAGGTAGGCAAGATCTCATACAAGCTTGACATGCCATCATATCTTAAGATCCACCACGTCTTCCATGCCAGCATGCTTAAGCCATATCATAAAGATAAGGATGATCCGAGTAAGGGCCAATCAAGTCGAGCGCCAATGACTATCACCGCCTCACATGATCGGGAGATTGAGGCTATTATGGATTACTAGACCACGCGAAAACAAGGGCAAAAAGCCACCGCTATGTTCGTCGTCCATTAGAAAAGGCAATCACCGAAGGAGGCCACGTGGGAACGATATGAAGACTTGTGGCAATTCAAGGATAAGATTCGAGAGCTTATGCAGCAGCATTGCGCCGCAATCATCACAATATTAGGTGGGGGAGAGTGTGATGACCCGCCATGTCATCATGCTACATATTCGCCATTTAGCATATATTAATGTCATGTGAAAGCTTACATAAGAGGAAGGCTAGCCTTTGTGAAAAGATTCGAGAGAAGTATGAACCTTTCCTTAGGAAGACCCTAGATCCTCATGGATTTTCTAGGAAAATCCTTGCAATCTTCTAGGCTTGTAGAGAATTCTAGAGAAAACCCTTATCTTGTAAATATTAAGAACTTGTGTAACAATTAATAATTACACACTAGCCCCTAGGAGATTAGTGTATAAAGGGGGACATTCATTTATAATTCACTAAGCAAACAATTCAAATTCTCTATAATACAAAGCTTCCTTTAACAATTCTCTTGTGTTCTTTCTACTATTCTCTTAGCGACCTTGACTGTAGTAAGACTGACTTGGCATAACAAGAATGTGAGCAAGTTGTGCAAGATCGTGAATGAGTTATCAAGTGTCACACATGTACTTAGTTAACGACTAAGAACGTGACATAAAGCTATAAAACTCTCCTTTAACAACACTCCAAATTCATAGATATGCAAATTGTTGGCCTGAAACACACGTCATTCATGACTATGCATAAATTAAATAAAACATATTAATATGCTTATATTGTCTAGCTCTTATTTTCCCTCTACTTTTCGACTCTAATATATAAGCAACAATAAATTTATGAAATATCATCTTAGTTATGTCAACCAAACTAACTTATGGTGTAGTACTAGTATCTTCACCATCTTCATTGCAAATCCGCTATTTCCTCTTCACCTGTAATAAAAATAGCTTCTATTTCACAATCCTTGAATTCATCAACCCAAAGATTTGCAAAAATAACTATATAGAAGTACAAGTTAGTTCTTATATTCATCAACCCAAGGATTACTCATATTACATGATGCAAAAATTAAATAAAAAGGTTTAATAAACATGGATATTGGATTTTTCTCAAATAAAATTTTCCAAAATTTGCTTAAAAGTATTTCGATCAAAATCAAGATTGTCGACTATTATGTAAATGAAAAGAACTAAACCCCTGTTTGGCCATAGATTTTGTCAAGTTTTTTCCAAATTCTTTTTTTGGCAAAACATGTTTGTCTATAAATTTTATCCATGTTTTGGCAGATTTTGAAAACAAAAATTTCAAATCCCAAAACTATCTCTAGACCTATTTTTGGCCTAAAATATTACTGTTGAATTTTTTAACAATTTCAAAAATTATCGAAATTTTTTGTATTTTATAAAAAAGCTCACTATCTATTATGACCCAACTAATTACTAACATTTTTTTTGGACTGGTGAATCTTGTAATATTACTGCAATTTGACGAATTATAATGGCTAGTAATTGTTTTATTAGTAATTGATATTAAAATATCAGGTTATAGTTTTAAGATAGTGTAATATGTAATTCATTATAAAAATGATAATTTTGTGCCAAACTTATTTATGTTCAGGACAATGGTTTGTGATAATGATAATGAATGGCATTGATGAAGGTTCTGCATATATAGGATTAACAATTTTGTTTGTTTGGTATTGTTGGGTATTTTTGATAGTTTTTTGAACTTATGAGTATAAGTCACATTTTTTTTCAAAAAAAAAAAAATGAAACATGTTTTGAAAAATACCAAACTTCACTTAAGTCAGATTTTTAAAATAAAATTGGAAATTTATGGCCAAACGCTACCTTAGAAACTTTGACTTCACCTGGCGCTTTCCGGTTCTACAAAAGCAGGATGATCAAAATCTGCACCTTGAATGGCAATACACTCAACATTTGCAACTTCATCCAAATTAGTCGAGTCATACTTGTATCCATAAAAGTTTTTAGTATCACTCATAAAAATTGCTTCATTTTTCTATTCTCAAACAAAAAATAATGAAACAGGTTAATTATCACCAAAAAAATAAATAAATAAGTTGTTAGAAATGAATTATATATACCTTGTCATGGTAAGGAACATCAAATGGAGAAACCAAAGCCAAGGAAGATCGATCGAGCTGCTCTTCTAATTGTTGTCTTTGCATTTGCAATGTGGCCATTTCTTTACAAAAAGAAATTTGTTTTCGTACCATTTCAAGCTCCTTTTCATATGCTTCAATTTCTGCTCTCAGTTTTCTTTCAATGCCAAGACAGCCATACACTGGATTTTCCTTCCAAACCTTAGCCTCTAAAATTAAGGTCTCAGCAGTTTTTTCCTTCTGATCATCAGCAACAGAATTAAGCAATTTTATGGTGTTATTTACTCCGAAAAGTCGATAAACATTTTGAAAATCTTCACTTCTATTAGAAGGAAAATAAGGAGCTAATTGGCAATTTTCGTCACATTTTTTCCTTTGGTGTTTACATGCTGCACATGCACCAACAAACATGAGCATATCTGCATTCATTGTTTTTTTTTTCTTCTTCCTTTTTTCTTCTGAACGTGAAAATGGAGAAGAATTTGCGAGTTAGACATAAGTCAATGAACAAAATATATAGGAGTATATCGATTTACCACTTTTATTACAGAATCAGGTAACACTGGAGATAATAGGATTTGAGTATGTAAATTTAATAGGCCTAGATTTGATTCTTTAAAATGATAGATATGTTTTAGTCTTTTATAGTAGGCAAATCCTTCATGTTACTAAATATGTTCATATTTGGTTACCTGTGGTTCATTGAATTACTTTATTATAGTTCAAGCTAAGTTTTAAAAAAACTCAATAAAATTCCCTTGTGTGGTTGCATTAGAGTTAATATACATATATAAAGTGTGTATTTTAGAAAGAAGAATGACGTAATTAATATTTGGTAAAAGAAATTAAACGCTAGTTTTTGGTTATTTAATTGAAAAGGAAAAGGTTCAATCCACAAGTGTATTTATTCTAACGGTAGAAGTAATGAAGCTACACGGTACAAGTAATTAAGCTACATTGCAAACAATAACATGTTTATGTGATAATGAAAAAAGTTACATTCATACCATATTAATTAATTATACATTTCAGAAACGCAATTTATTCATAAATGCAATTTATAAGTTGCATTTTCAGTTATAAATAACATTCAAATATTAAATTTATAAGTTGGCATTCAAAAAGTTACGCAAATTTAAAATACGGAAAAGGTCTAAAAATATCCTTGAACTATACAAAATAGCTTAAAAATATCCTCCATTTGTTTTTTGTGCCAAAAATATCCCTGTCGTCTATGTTTTGGCCCAAAAAAGCCCCTAAATCGTTAGTTTTGTCATTGAAGCTGGCATGGCAGTCCAACTGGGTTAGAATTGCTTATATGGTCGTCCACCTACGCAATCCATATGTGAAACTTATTTTTTCGGAAATTTTATTTTTCCAGAATTTTTTAATAAAATACAAAATCAACATTTATTCTGAAAAAAGTAAAAAAATCCAAAACAAATATTTTTTTTTTGGATTTTTTTTAATTAAATACAAAATCAACACTTATTCCGAAAAAAAAGTAAAAAATTTACGAAAAAAATATTCTTGATTGGGGTTTATGATTTGATTCCAATCAAGAATAATTATTTAATCAAATCATATACCCCAATAAAGAATAATTTTTTCGTAAATTTTTTACTTTTTTTCGGAATAAGTGTTGATTTTGTATTTTAATTAAAAAAAAATCGAAATAAATATATTTTTCGAATTTTTTTTACTTTTTTCAAAATAAATGTTGATTTTACATTTTATTAAAAAAATTTGGAAAAATAAAATTTCCGAAAAAATAATTTTCACGCATGGATTGCTTAGGTGGACGACCATGTAAGCAATTCTAACTCATTTGGACTGTCATGTCAGCTTCAATGGCAAAACTAACGGTTTAGGGGCATTTTTGGGCCAAAACATAGACGACAAGAATATTTTGGTACCAAAAGTAAACGAAGGATATTTTTGAGCTATTTCGAATAGTTCAAGGATATTTTTGGACCTTTTCCGTTTAAAATATGTGAGGTGAGCGTGGACATAACATATACTATAGGACCTTGTATTTCCCTTTTTGTTCCCTTTCCCCCAACTTAGTTTTTCTGGATTAATCTCCACTTTAGGGAGGAAGATTTTTCTTAGTGTCACGGTAACCCATGTTAATTAATGAAAATAGGACTACTTGTAAATTGAGATTGTTATCTCTGCTAATATGTGGATTTCATGGTTAGTTTGATTATTAAAGTGATGGGTCGTCATAGCTAGAGGCGAAATCAGAATTTTTAAATTTGTGAATTCTAAATTTTAAATGATAACTTGCTAGATTCGAGATTGATTATTTATATATAATATTAATTAAATTTTTAACACAAATACATAATCTTAATAAAAATTACTTTAGTTCTGCCAAAATCGTAATTTCTATTCTAGCTTCGCTCGGGTCCCTAGCATTTCTTCCATCTCTATTTGACACCTCAAGGTGATGCATAATGAACTCACAATGCACTGAGGAGTCGTTTTGTCGAAAACAAATTATATCGGAATAATTTATTTCGGGATTAGTTATTCCATTATTCTACAGGAATAAAAAATACTATAATCCCGAAATAACTGATTTCGAAATTAATTATATAGCAACTTTATTCCAATCAAATATGAGTTTAAATTTAATTTCAAAATTAATTATCCATTACCGTTCGTGCCAAACAAGCCGGAAGATGATGTTTTGACAGGGAAAGGGGAGGGGCCGTTAGTTTCCTGACGATAGTTTACTCAAGGACGGAACTTGCTCACTTTTGGAAACGTGAAGGGATGTTTTCTGTTCATATAATAAATACTGTAAGGAGGTAGTTAAGTTATTTGTAAACTTCAAGGATGTTTTTGGCGAAAACGCTAATNATACTAAAAGTAAATTTGGTCGGATAGTATAACTACAGGTTAAATTAGGCCGAACAGGGTAAAAGAGGTTAATCGTACACTATATAGCAAATTAAGGTTATATTTGACTCTTTTCTCAAAAATATACGAGGTACAAGTGTTCCAAATCCCTTTTTTCACTTCACAACTCAATTCTCAGAAACGCTACGCACTGAAGCTGAGCTCGATCTATAATGGCGGAGAAGCCTCAACCTGTTCAAGTCTTATACTGTGGAGTCTGCGGGTTACCCGCTGAGTTCTGTGAGTTCGGACCCGACTTCGAGAAATGCAAACCCTGGTTGATTCAAAACGCACCCGATACCTACCCGGATCTTCTCAAAGGTGGTTATTACCCTATTAAAACCTTAATTTATGGTAATCTTGTTTTATAATATAGAGTCTGTTTTCCTTAATTCTTATGCTTTTGTTTATTAATTTTTTTTTGCAGAATCAAATGGAAAAGAAGCTGATAAAGTCTCTGACAAGCTTCAGTCCACTTCAATCTCAGAAGGTGAAAGCCTTTTTGCTGTTTCGTTTGAACACACTTGCGATTTTTCAAAGGTGTTTAATTGCTGATAGACTAGTCATATTCTTGTCAAACTCTGTTTTATGTGGATATATAAATGAAATGAAATAATTTAGGTACCTTATGTGTATTGTTGTTTAGTTTAATTGGATTCTCCAGAAATAATGATTCTAAGATGCTAACAAGGAAAGGGGTGAAAGAAGTAATAATTTTTGGTCGATGAAACTGGAATGAGACCATGGTTGGAATCCCAGCAGAAATAACAAAGCTAGGTGATTTATTCTTATGAGCTGAAGCCTTGGCGGACAAAGTTATCCAGTACTTATACTGGTGGACTGGTGTGAGGACATGAGTAGCCGGTAAATAGTGGAGGTGCGCACGAGCTTGCTGGATATCACTGTTATGAAAAAAACCTGTAATTATCTTGGGGTTAGTACAATATTCTGTTCGGTACTTTGTGGTGGCTTAATAAGCTGACACTGCAATTGTAGGTTGTAGACGGGAATTCTGTCTGAAGTTTAATTCAATCTTTCTGATCAGTGATCCCTCACCTTATTCAAGATATCAAAGCCGATCCTATCTGTGATGCCTATAAATGCCAGGAAAATATCTGTGCTGTATAAAGTTGAGAAAGACCAAGGACATAAATTCTCATAAGGTTGCTACAGATATCCTGTCATCAACATGCCATGAGGAAGAAGAATTGTGTATACAGGCTTGAAAGATCTTTTGGAGCTGCTTACAGAAAAATTTCCTGATTTATGGTATCTAGTCTAAGTTTGACAATTGGTTAGGGTATGTCATTGAGTCATTATTGGTTGTATTCCCTTAGTTTCAGAAGTTCTTTTCGTATCTCTTCTCTGATTATCAATCTAAATGGTTTTCCCTCTTCCAAAGTTGAGCGATAGTTTATTTTTATAATGTCCTCTGTGCTGATCTATATACTTCTCCTCATGTTATTGGGTACTCCCAGATCGTTTTGGTGGATGGCCTTTTGCTATTTCTTTCATTAGTCATTTTATTGCAAAAAGATGCCTAGTCTACAGGAGGCATACACAGAAATCGATAGAAAATAGTTTCTTTCTACAAACTCTACCCAATCATCTTTACAGATAAGGGTATCTTGTGAACTCCACGAATAAAGCAGCATACTCCTATGCTATTATAGATTGATTCACTTTGCCTTCGCTTGAGGAGGGCTCCTCCATGTTGTCCACATAACTTCTTGTGGAGTTATATTCCAAGCTCTTTTAATGGTGCAAGGCATTCTCTTATTTAGTTTGGTCACAAAGGTGTAAGTTTTTTGTGTATCTCTTAGTCTGGAAGGTCGTATTCAATGTCAAAACTTCTACTTGATTACATTTGTTAAGTGACTAACATGAAGGCTCTCCATAGTTTCTCAATGTGTACCTAGCACAGTGACACCTGCCTCTACATTACCCTCTTGCACGGGGCACTTGGGTGTAGAGGGGAATTAGTTTGATTCTCTGCATGGGATTTGATTATACGTTACTGCTTCAAATAATATTATGACTTATGAGGGTTAGGCTAAAAAGGGAAGAGAATTTTACATTTGATTACTTGGCACAGATTTGTTATGTCTTCTTGAAATCCAAGAATTTGCGTACTAGAAGCCGGGTTTATAGCATTGTAAAGTACTAGAGCTTATTGGTTGTTGACTTTTCTGTTGCCTCTTATAGAATATTTGATCACAATAAGTCGTTTTTTGTATATACTATTGGCGTGTAGTTTCTAAGGCATGTTGCTTCTCTGAAGTCTCTAAGCTCTACGTAATTTAGAAAATGCTTTACTTATGAATCTTTGTGAATACTGAAGATCCCAGGTCTTAAGCTATGTAACTGAAAACAGACACATTTTGTTTGAAACAGGAAAAACTATCTAAAGTAAAAATCTAAAGTACCTTTCTGAAATAAATTTGAAGGGCAAACTGGCAAAGTATAAATCTAAAGTTCCTTTCTGTTACTTATGTTTCAGCTCATTACAAGCATGAACAATTATTACAGAAGGGATCATGTTCTAATGAATAATGCCCTTTTTCACCTTAGAAGAAAATATTTAGCGTAATGTATGATAAATGTGCACAAAAGCTTATAATCGAAACTAGAGCCAAATGAACTGGAAGTAGTAGAAAGGAGTTAGAAACTTGGAGGGGTCTAACTCACCCACAACTATTCCAATTCTTTGACCGAAAAAAAATTGCTACCAAGTTCTAGTGCTTTGCTGGAGAAACTTCAAAGGGGTCTAACCACCCATAACCATTCCAAATCTTTAATTGAAAATGAATTATGGTCATTTCTACCAAGTTGAAGTGGTTTGCTTGAGAAGTCAGTACAGGAGCCAATGAAGTTGAGGTTGTGAGTTGTGGTTAGAAATAAGTGATGTCCCTGTATTAGGGTG